ATATATATATACATATATTTATATATAAACAAGACAACAAAAACTAAATATTTAAGCCAATATCTCACGTGGCTGTGATTGTTGGAAATCAAAGTTGAAAAATCTTCAGTAAATTAGGAAACTCTTTGATTGCAGTCTCAAGCCCCCAGCAAACCATGCAACTGCTATTGTGCAACCATTTTTTCAAATGTCTTTTTTTTTGTGTGTGCATGGAAACACAGATATAAACATAACTTTATATTTATTTGTAAAGATATAAATAAATTATTTGAATGGTTCGGCCTATACATTTGGGCTTCGGTCTCAGATATTTTCTGAATAACGTCTGATCTCGAGACAGAAATCTATAATGTATTCAAATCATATATTAGGCTCATAAAATAATGATTTTGTCTAAAAACACATGCAGGAGGGTAAGTTGTGATTTCTCCTCAAGCAGCCCTTGCTCTAATACATTTACGCTGAGCGTCTGTAGCATGTGCACAAAGTTAGAGAAAATAGACAAAAGCAGGTTAGTGTGGTGCAAATGCAATATATCTACGTTATATAAGTTATTCAACGATATTAAAATGTCACTACTCATCAGTTGTTCAAGAAAATGGTAACTGTACTTATATAGCGTCTTTCTTTCTGATCAAGATACTCAAAGCTCTTTACAACACAATCTGTGGCCTCATGGACCCATTCATAAATGGTGTCAAACACTCGGGGGACAGGTGACAAGTCTGACTTGGACACCTGTGAAACAGCACAGGAGCTCAGGGTGGAAACCAGTTTGGAAGCTGAACATCAGCTCTGCAGCATGGCTGAACAATCTACCAACACGTCGATGCATGTTTTATTTTCCAAGTGTCAAAAATGAACGTCACGTTACAAACACATGCATCTCTGTAAACTTGCTGTAACTAAACTGAGAGCGGGGTGAGGAACGTTCCCAGGACGTTGTTGCAACTTTGTGCGTATATTTAAACTTGATCAGGATGCATGGAACAAGCAAACCTCCACAGTGTATACAAGGGAACTGAGAACCTCTGCAGATGTTCGAGACATTTTCAAGACTCTTGTGAATGCCTTTCACAATTTGTCACCAAAAGTGGCAGCCCAGTGACACACTGGTTTCAGATTTTTAAAAACCCACCACCAGAACATGCACGGAGTCATTTCCTGAACATTGTTTCTCTGCACCAACAGTTTTCTGTTCATCTCACTTCCTTCTGTTTTCTTACATCGTCCGTGTTGTAAATATTGAAGCTCTTTCCAAGGCCGACTTTTGTATTTGTACATGTTCGGTGTGATCAGAACATATTTCAGCTGGTGTTTGATGTGCTGATGAGAGGAGCCTTCTGCTGGAGTGGAGCAGGAGGACCGCAGCTCTCCGAGCCTTTTGAACGCCCACACTTACAAAAATGTTGGTGCGTATTGTCGTTGTGTGGCGAGCCGCCCACCCTGTGGCAGATGGGGGTTTGGTTTGTCTACACACACACACATACACAAACACACACACACACACACTGCAATGAATCGAGTCATGCAGGAAACACACAATCTGACATGTAAACTCACAAACACTCCCACACACACACTTTCTCTCTGCAACAAACCCGATCCGGCTCGTTTTCCTGTCAGAATCTGTTGCTGAAAATCTTTGTTTTTTCCTTATTTCACTCAAACACACACACACACCAACACACACACAGCTCCATGGGGACGGTGCCCTGCTTCCACCCTTCGCCCACGCTCCTCCAGGCCGCCGAGGCTCTGGGGGGTTTGTGGTTTTGTGTTTGGTGGCTCTGGGTGTCAGCCGGGGGTCCAGCGGCTCGGCAGACCCCACCGTGCCGATTAATCATCTGTCATCTGTAGGTTTTTGTTAATATGGATCTTTGTCTTGGTCGTGGAGCTCATCGAGCCTGCTCACCTCCTGCTCCCTCCTTAACAGTTCTCCAAACCGACAAAACACCTAAAACAACCGAACTGTGTATTCTGGGCCATCGTCGGCTGCTGTTGGAGCAGTATTTGTGACCTTTGACCCCTCACATCTTTATATAATACAGCAAGTTTAAAGAACAAGATTCAAACTCTGATTAGGTTTTATATGTTTATGTGGACATATTTTACCTTTATGAAGAAAAAGCAGATAAATACTTTACTGAAATAAATACTGAGACCTCATTTTTTAAAATCTAAACGTCATTTTATTCTTCGTGTTCCTGTTTTCTCAGTTTGATATTGTTTCTTGTTGAAGGTTTTAGTTTTAAACATTCAATAAAACGCAGGTTTTGATGGGTTTTTTTTTTGGTTTTTGAAGCAGTGCAGGCCTTAACAAGACGCCTTTCTGTGTTCGAACTGTACGGCTTTGAAAAGTCCCGGGTCCTTTTCCCCATTTATTCTGCAGCTCTAATCTGAGATGAGGATACTAATAAATAAATAAA